CGCAGCTCAGGGGTGCCCCCGGGGTCCCCGCGGCCGCCTTCCGCGCCGCCCCAGCTGCCGGAAGTGCAGGCGTTTGGGGTTCAGCCCGAAGGCCTGCAGTCTCTGGCGGCTGAACTCGCGGCCGCCCAGGGTCACGGTGGGGCCCAGCAGCCGCGCCTTCCTGCCGCGCCGCCGCCCCTGGGGCGCAGGCTTCGTGCCTGGGGACCCCAGGGCCTCCGCTTCCTGCCCCGGGGGGCTCGCAGGCCGCGGCCGCTTCCTCCCCGCAACGTCGGGAACTGAAGCCGCGTCCCTCTGTGGCGTTCCCGTGCCGTCCAGGGGGGGCTCCGTCCTAGCGGGGGGACAGCGGGGCTCAGCCGAGCCAGCCTGTGCCTCTGCCCCTGTCCCCCTTCTCAAACGAATTCCTTGACTGTATTGTGTTTGCTACCAGAGTGTGAGCTCAGGGTCGTGTAAATCAGGAGGGTTCTCCACCACCTGAACCACTTCCCCAGCCCAGGACAAGCCTCAGATCCTAGATCCTCCTACCCAGGCCTCCCACCCAGCTGTGGCTACAGGCGTGTGCCACCACGCCTGGCTTGTCTTGTTGAAATGGGACTTGGCTCATTTATTGCAGCTGGGATACAGGCCTGCACCACCACGCCTGTCTCCTATTTTAAACACTTCACATGGTTTCTCTCGCTCAAGGTTCAACAGCGAGATAAATTAGAAACTATACTTTTTTTTTTTTTGGTCCGGTCATGGGACCTGAACTCTGGGCCTGGGAGCTGTCCCTCAGCTCTTCAGCTCAAGTCTAGCACTCTACCACTTGAGCCACAGCGCCATTTCCAGCTTTTTTCTTATGTGGTGCTGAGGAATCGAACCCAGGGCCTCGAGCATGCAAGGCAAGTGTACTACCACTGAGCCACCTTCCCAGCCCTTACCTTTGTTTCATAGTTAAGAATCCTATCCAGAGATGGATGATAATTTTCCCACCAGGGTCACACAGCTATGAGCCAAGTGGGCCACCATGTGCGCCCCCTCCCCACTGCCCCCGGCCATACTTACTCCTCTGGGCAGAGCGATTTGAAGATCTGCCTCTTCTTCCAGGAGTTCTGGGCTTTCTGGCTGTATGCTCGCTTGTCCTGGAGCTCCTCATGTTCTGACCTGCGGGTCCCCGGACACAGAGGTGATCAGATGCCCTGGGCAGGGCTGGAACCTGCAGCCCGGCCCGGTCCTCACCTGTACATGCAGGTCTTCTTGAGCGAGCACCAGCGGTTCAGCTCCTTGTCGTCAGCGGCCAGGATCTGCAGGAGGGAGGGGAGGACCCCAACTCTGAGGCCTCAGTCACCTCAACACTGACACAGGGCAGGGATGGGCTGTTATTGGTTCCTTTTTACAAACGGGGAAACTGAGGCACTGGTGGTTAAAGCACTTAGGCAACCTCACACTGTTGATAGCCTCAGGGCCTGGACACTATCTCAGCTTTTTATTTTGTTTTGGTCGATCATGGGGCTTGAACTCTGGGCCTGGGCACTGTCCCTCAGCTCTTCAGCTCAAAGCGAGCACTCTACCACTTGAGCCACAGCGCCACTTCCGGTTTTCTATTGGCTTATTGGAGAGTCCCGTATTTTCTGCCAGGGCTGGCTTTGAACTGTGATCCACAAGCACCCAGCCTCCTGAGTAGCTGGGATTACAGGTGTCCCTGGGATTACCGGTGCCTGACCTCAGGGAGATTATCTTCAATTAACCCCAAAAAGCTGGAAGTGGAGCTGTGGCTCAAGTAGTAGAGCACCAACATTGAGTAAGAAAAAGCTCAGAGAGGGGCTGGGAAGGTGGCTCAGTGGTAGAGCGCTTGCCTTGCATGCATGAGGCCCTGGGTTTGATTCCTCAGCACCACATAAGCAGAAAAAGCCGG